GGGTGAGTCAAAGAATTTAGCGCCACGGTGGCAAGATGGTAACTACCTCGCCTACTATACAGAATGTTGTGGGTTCGATCCCGACCCTGACGCCTGTATATTTCACTCCACATGTAGAAACATGTAATAAGAGGAATTGGGTGCAATAAATGTATACAGCGACTTTGTTGAACCATCAGTGGGCCTTACCTGGTAAAAGAATATCTCACATTACCAGAAGAGGTAAGGACTACATATAGAGTGGGTGATTAACTGGGTGGGTCTGTGAGTGTGGGTCAGTGATCGAGGAAGTAGGTGAGTGAGTGTGTTAGAGATTGTGGGTGATAGGGTAAGCCATGGGTGACGTGAGTGGGTGTGTTGTTTGGGAGTGAATAGACGAGTGGTTGGGTGAGTTAGTGGGTGGCTGAGTGGGTGGGTGAATGGGTTTAGAGATTGAGTGGGTGGTGGGTGGTTGGGTGAATGAGTGGGTGGGTGGGTTTGTGAATGGTTGAGGTGAGTGAGTGGGTGGGTCAGCGCATGAGTGGGTGAGAGGTGGGTTGGTGAGTTGGTGAGAGGATTAGTGAATTGGTGGGTTCGAGATTGCGTGGCTGGGTGAGTGAGTCGGTTAGAGATTGAGTGGGTGGCAGGGTAAGTGGGTGGGTTGCTTAATGGGTGTGTGAGTGGGTGGATAAATAGGTGAGTGGACAGGTGCATGGTTTAGTGGGTGGGTGAATAAGTGAGTGGGTGGGTGAGTGCATTGTTGCGTGAATGTGTGGGTGGTTGAGTTTTTGGGTAGATGGGTGTGTGAATATGGGAGGTGAGTTCGTGTGTTAGTGGGTGGGTGAGTCGGAGAGTGAGGCACCATGGTGCCGAGATGTTAACTACCTCGCCCAGTATACAGGAGGTTGTGGATTTTATCCCAGCCCTTCCGCTTGGATATTTGGAGTTTCTATGTTCTCCCCGTGGTCGTGTAGAATTTTCTCCAGGTTGTCCCTCCACATTTGAACATGCATTTATATAATTTGGTTGCAATAACATTCTACGTGAAAAGCCACTTAATTGAACTGTCATTTGTGCTGAGGTGGCTTCCGACAAATATCTATAGCTCAGGGCCTTACCCAGTAAAATGAAAAACAATTAAATATTAGTTTATTGTGTGGATGAGTGGGTGCGTGCGTGTGTGGGTGGGTGCGTGGGTGGATGAGTGAGTGGATGGGTTGATGCGTCGTAGGTGAGTCGCTGAGTGAGTGAGTGGTTGGGTGCATGAGTGTGAGTTAGAAATTGAGTGGGTGGCTTAGTGAGTGGGTCAGTGTATGAATGGCTCAGTAGTTGAGTGAGTGAGTGGGTGATTGAATGAGTGGGTGAGTGTGTGGGTTAGTGGGTGGGAGAGTCAGACAGTGGGGCGCCATGGTGGCGAGATGTTAACTACCTCGCCTGGTATGCAGAAGGTTGTGGGTTTGATCCCGACCCTGACACCTGTATATTTCCCTCCACATTTAAAATCAACAAACATTTATAGGATTTGGCTGCAATACATGTCATAAGCCACTTCGTTGACCTATAATTTTTAACCAGGTCATTTCTGAAAAAGATGTTTAGCTCTGTCGGCCTTACCTGGTAAAATAACCACAATTTAGATTTAGTTTAGTGTGTTGGTGAGTGGGCGGGTGAGTGCGTGGGTGGGTGGGTGAGTGGTGAGTGGCTCGGTGGTTGAGTTAGTGGGTGGTAGTGGGTGGTTGAGTTAGTGGGTGGTGGAATGTTTTGGTGGTTGAATTATTGGGTGGTTGAGTGATGGGTGGGTGGGTGAATAATTACGTGGTTAGTGGGTGAGTTGCTGAGGGAGTGGTTGGGCGAGTGGGTGGGTTAGAAATTGAGTGGGTGGCATGGTGAGTGGATGTGTATGTGACTGGGTGAGTAGGTGAGTGGCTGGGTGAGTATGTGAGTAGATGGTTATGTGGGGAGTGAGTGGGTTAGTGACTGGGTGAGTTGTAGTTGAGATTGTCAGTTTAAAAGTGAGTTGGTGGGTTAGAGATTGACTGGCTCGGTGAGTGAGTGCTGGGTGGGTTAGTGAGTTGTTGGGTGGGTGAGTGTTAGTGGGTGGATGATCGACTGGGTGGGTGGTTGAGTGAGTAGATGGGTGGGTGGGTTGCAGTGACGTGTGGTGAGGTCAATGGCTGGGGAGGCACTGGCTTGTGTCAGAGCCAGATTCACACACTGAGGGGGACGTGGCCTCACGGAGGGGGGCGTGTTAGATGCATCCCCCTCAGTGAGGCAAATGTGATGGCTACCTCCCCTGGTGCTTTTTCATTGCAGTTTCATGACGAGACCAGCGAGCCTAAATATCTTTATACACATACGTGAAATAAGTTACCTGGAGTATGGAAGGCGAGGACATGAAATGAAGGGGTCTACAAACATTACATTGGTGACATACTGTGATAGTAACAGGCACGCACTTATTGCCCGCGCTCCATCCAGTAACTGAGGGGTTGCGTAATCAGGGGAGGCTGAGCTCGTCGCTGCCTCACCTCTCGTCTCTTCCTGTATTTGCAGCGGAGCTCCGCAAATTTGGCGATTTTAACTATAAAAGTGGAATCTTACAGAAATGACATTTATAACACAGATCAGTGGAAAAATCTTTTATTTATTTTATTATTCTCTTTTTTTTTACTTTTCGTAACAACTATTGTCATTGGAGTATGACAGGTGAGGCACTGCCTCCCCTGACCGCACGTCCCTGGTGGGTTGGTAGGTTGGTGAGGAAGTGAGAGGGTTAGTGGGTACGAGATTGAGTGGGTGGCTGGCTGAGTGGTTGAGAAGATGGGTGTGCGATTTCATGGGTGAGTGAGTCGGTGAGTGAGTGGGTGAGTGGGTTTTTGTATGGGTGAGTGCTTCAGTGGGTTCATGAGTGAGTGGATGGGTTATTGAGTGAGAGGGTGGGGTATTTGAGTAAGTGGTGTGCGTGAATAGGTGAATGGGTGGGTGTTTGAGTGAGTGAGTCAGAGAATGGGGTGCCACGGTGGTGAGATGGTAACTACCTTGCATAGTATACAGGAGGTCATGGAATTGATCCCGACCTTCCGCCTGTATATTTCGAGTTTGCATCTTCTCCCTGTGGTCACGTGGATTTTTCTCCGGGTCCTCGGGGTTTTACCTCTGCATTGAGAATAAACTTGCATTCAGAGGATTTGGCTGCAATGCATGTATATGTGATAAGCCACTTTGTTTACCTGTAATTTGTAACAAGGTCGCTTTTGAAAAAGATCTATATAGCTCTGTGGGCCTTAGCTGGTACAATGAGAAATAGTTCATCTTCTTGGTTCTTTCGGTAAAGTCACGTAGAAGGGAAGTAATAAAATAATAAAAATACGTGACTTTACCGAAAGAACCAAGAAGATGAATCCCTGCAGTCACGAAAGCTTTAAATCGAGAAATAGTTCAGTTTTCGTTTATTGGGTGGGTGAGTGGTTGGTGGGTGATTGATTGAGTGGGTGGTTGGGTTGGTGGGTGAGTGTTTGAGTTAGAGAGTGGGTGGGTGGATGGGTGGGTGTGTGAGTGGGGGAGTGAATAGGTGAGTGGGTGGGTGAGTGGAGTCTAGAGTGAGTGAGTGAGTGGGTTGGTGGGTGGGTCGTTGAGTTAATGAGTGGGTGTGTAGGTGGGTGCACAGGTATGTTCTTGAGTGGCTGTGTGTGTGCATGAGCAAGTGAGTTAGCAGTTGAGTGGGTGGCAGAGTGAGTGGGTGAGTGTGTGTGTGTGGGTGGCTTTTGTAGTTTAGTGGTTGGGTGAGTCAGATAATGAGGCGCCACAGTGGCGAGATGGAAACCCCCTCGCGAAAGCCGACGTGTTAAACTGGTATATTGGAATTCGTAGGTTTGACCCCAACCCTGATGTCTGTATATTTGGAGTTTGCATCTTCTCTCGTGGTCACGTCGATTTTCCTCTGATTCCTTCGGGTTTGTTTAACACGTAGACTTTCGCGACCAATATCATACATAATAGAGGTTTCTTTTTTTTTAGATTTGAAGCTTTCGTGACTGCATATTCTAAGGTTTTTTCAGTAAAGTCACGTAGGTAAAACATTAAAATTAATAAAAGTAAAATAAAATAAAAATCACGACGTTTCGGAGGCAACACAAGCTTCCGTCTTCAGGTGGAACCGTCACAGCCACGACAGCTGTATCAAGTAAATGAGAGATTGCAGGAGCTACCACTCCGTTTTTATAATGGTTGGAGAGGGGGGGGGGGCCAAGTACAGCACACTTTTTATTAATATGGTAAGGTGAGGCTTAAGAGGGTGAGCCTTTGTTATGGAGAGGTACGGTTTGTGATCAACCTGTGACAAGGAGACAACAACTAAACATGGTAACCTGCAATAGTTGTCTGTCAAATAAGATTGGCCAAATAAGTGTAGTTAAATCTTTTTTGCATGGTTAATCACATCTTTCCAATGATTACTCAGTTTGTAACCATCATCACGGTTGAAATTATGTCTGTGTTTGTATATTTGTATGGCTTCGTGTACAAACCTTTGATGGTAGCCAGGAGGTTTGCAGAGAACCTTGGTCTCGGAAAAGACAATTTCATGAGAGCCCACCGAGTTGTAGCAATGATCGGCAACGGCCGAAGAATCAGTTCTGCCGTGTTTCAGATCTGACTTGTGCTCGCGGACACGATCAGAAACATGACGTTTCGTTTCTCCAATGTAGCAATCACCACAAATGCAACTCAATTTGTAGACTCCAGGATACTGTAAGTCAGGAACGACATCCTTCACAGATGGAATCAGATCACGGATTTTATGCACTGTACTGAATCGGACTTGGATCTTATGTTTGTTTAGAATTTTGGAGATCTTTTTGGTCACGCATGCTATGTATGGTAACGTGATAGTTTTGGTCGGAGTTTCATGTGGCTGTTTCTGTGTGGTGGGAGAAACAGCTTGGCAGATAATGCGGTCAGAGTATCCGTTCATCCTGAGGGCCCGATGTACATGTCTTAATTCACCGGCCAGGTGGTGTTGGTCAGAAATGCCATGGGCTCTGTGGTATAGCGTTTTGATGAGAGAATTCTTTTGGAAATGGGTGGTGGGGCGAATCCGGTTTCAAGTAGGAATCTGTGTGGGTGGCTTTCCTGTAGACAGAATGTCCCAAGGATCCGTCAGGCCTCCTCTCAAACAGAATATCCAAGAATGGTAGTTTACCGTCTTTCTCCACTTCCATGGTGAATCTGATGGATGGGTGTCTAGAATTGATGTGGTCCAAGAAGTGGTTCAATGCTGGGAGGCCATGTGGCCAGATGACGAAAGTGTCATCCACATACCTCTTCCACAGGGAAGGACGCAGGGTGGATGTCTGGATGGCGTCTGATTCAAACTTTCCCATGAACATGTTGGCTATAACTGGTGACAAGGGGGAGCCCATAGGGGTACCCTCATTCTGTTTGTAGAAGGTGCCATTCCAGGTAAAATAGGTGTTGGTGAGGCAATGCCTAACCAGCGCAGGTACATCAGAATTCAATCCATGTTGGACTAAGTCCTCAATTATTGTTAGGGTGTCCGGTACTGGGACTTTGGTGAACAAAGATACTACATCAAAGCTGACGAGGATGTCATCAGGAGATAGTACCATGTCCTTAACCATAGAGACTAATTGGGTTGAGTTGAGTACTGCCGAAGAGGTCTTGCCTGTGAAGGGGAGCAGAGTATCTGATAGAAAACGGGCTAGTTTGTACGTAGGAGAGTTTATCATCGACACGATGGGTCGTAGCGGCGTGCCTTCTTTATGGATTTTGGGAAGACCATAGAGTCTGGGAGGTCTAGCCGCCGATGGTTTTAGAGAGGGACGTTTGCTTGGTTCGATTAGGGAAGTCGAACTCGTGATGATACTGTTTCTCAGATTGATGTAGCCCTCAGAGGCATAGGACACATCCATGCAGATGTAGCAAGAGCTGAAAGCTACTATTCTTAAGAATGCTACGAAACCCACTAGTAACATCAGCAAAAACGAACGCTCTGAACTCGGGACCTAAAAAGAGAGATGATATAGTCATCCTCTCGGCAGACAAGGGCACGGTCATCATGGATAAAGATTCATACAACAACAAAATCCTGGACCTTAATGATGGGAGTTACTCCAAAATTAAAAACGATCCCACTAAAAGCCTAACGACAAAAACCAACAGTATCATCACGAGTTCGACTTCCCTAATCGATCCAAGCAAACGTCCCTCTAAAACCATCGGCGGCTAGACCTCCCAGACTCTATGGTCTTCCCAAAATCCATAAAGAAGGCACCCCGCTACGACCCATCGTGTCGACGATAAACTCTCCTACGTACAAACTAGCCCGTTTTCTATCAGATACTCTGCTCCCCTTCACAGGCAAGACCTCTTCGGCAGTACTCAACTCAACCCAATTAGTCTCTATGGTTAAGGACATGGTACTATCTCCTGATGACATCCTCGTCAGCTTTGATGTAGTATCTTTGTTCACCAAAGTCCCAGTACCGGACACCCTAACAATAATTGAGGACTTAGTCCAACATGGATTGAATTCTGATGTACCTGCGCTGGTTAGGCATTGCCTCACCAACACCTATTTTACCCGGAATGGCACCTTCTACAAACAGAATGAGGGTACCCCTATGGGCTCCCCCTTGTCACCAGTTATAGCCAACATGTTCATGGAAAAGTTTGAATCAGACGCCATCCATACATCCACCCAGCGTCCTTCTCTGTGGAAGAGGTATGTGGATGACACTTTCGTCATCTGGCCACATGGCCTCCCAGCATTGAACCACTTCTTGGACCACATCAATTCTAGACACCCATCCATCAGATTCACCATGGAAGTGGAGAAAGACGGTAAACTACCATTCTTGGATATTCTGTTTGAGAGGAGGCCTGACGGATCCTTGGGACATTCTGTCTACAGGAAAGCCATCCACACAGATTCCTACTTGAAACCGGATTCCCACCACCACCCATCTCAAAAGAATTCTCTCATCAAAACGCTATACCACAGAGCCCATGGCATTTCTGACCAACACCACCTGGCCGGTGAATTAAGACATGTACATCGGGCCCTCAGGATGAACGGATACTCTGACCGCACTATCCGCCAAGCTGTTTCTCCCACCACACAGAAACAGCCACATGAAACTCCGACCAAAACTATCACGTTACCATACATAGCAGGCGTGACCAAAAAGATCTCCAAAATTCTAAACAAACATAAGATCCAAGTCCGATTCAGTGAAGTGCATAAAATCCGTGATCTGATTCCATCTGTGAAGGATGTCGTTCCTGACTTACATTATCCTGGAGTTTACAAATTGAGTTGCATTTGTGGTGATTGCTACATTGGAGAAACGAAACGTCATGTTTCTGATCGTGTCCACGAGCACAAGTCAGATCTGAAACACGGCAGAACTGATTCTTCGGCCGTTGCCGATCATTGCTACAACTCGGTGGGCTCTCATGAAATTGTCTTTTCCGAGACCAAGGTTCTCTGCAAACCTCCTGGCTACCATCAAAGGTTTGTACACGAAGCCATACAAATATACAAACACAGACATAATTTCAACCGTGATGATGGTTACAAACTGAGTAATCATTGGAAAGATGTGATTAACCATGCAAAAAAGATTTAACTACACTTATTTGGCCAATCTTATTTGACAGACAACTATTACAGGTTTACCATGTTTAGTTGTTGTCTCCTTGTCACAGGTTGAGTCACAAACCGTACCTCTCCATAACAAAGGCTCACCCTCTTAAGCCTCACCTTACCATATTAATAATAATAACCCGTAAAAACAAAGTTTTTCACTATAAATCCTTTATATGTGTGGCAGCGAACTTAATATAAAGGATTTAAAAATATATTCGCCTGTGGAGGACGCGGGGATCGATCCCGCGACCTTTGGCATGGGAAGCGAGGGCGCTACCAACTGCGCTACTCCGCCACGGCCTGTGGAGGGGTTACGCTCTGGGCTCTTATACTGTGACGTTCAGCCAAAGCCAAGAATGAGTTCTTTTGAATATATGTAAAATATTATTTTTTTGCCTAAAAGTGTAAAATTTTGGGAATTTTTTTTCACCGAACATTAATTGTCAGCGCACAACGAGTCTGTGTGGAAAATGTCAGCTCGATTGGATCACGGGAAGTGGTTAAAAACGAACCGAAAGATTTGCACGGTCCTAAGCAAGCAAGCAAGCACGCAAGCAAGCGAACTTAATATAAAGGATTTAATAAAAAACGACCGAAAGATTTGCACGGTCCTAAGCAAGCAAGCAAAGCAAGCAAGCGAACTTAATATAAAGAATTTAAAAAGTGTGCTGTACTTGGCCCTTCCCCCCCCTCTCCAACCATTATATAAACGGAGTGGTAGCTCCTGCAATTTCTCATTTACTTGATACAGCTGTCGTGGCTGTGACGGTTCCACCTGAAGACGGAAGCTTGTGTTGCCTCCGAAACGTCGTGATTTTTTATTTATTTTACTTTTATTAATTTTAATGTTTTACCTACGTGACTTTACCGAAAAAACCTAATAATAAGAGGTTTCTTTTTTGGGTTAGATCGCATAAATATATAAATGTGTCGTTAAAACCCACCACCCGACACAGCCAACTAGTAAGGGTTGTCACGTACGCAGAACATGCCAATTTGTAACTAGTACAACTCACGGTGTGTTGGAGAGTCAAGCCACAACATTTACAATCTGAGTACGACGTTTCGCCAGTAATTACAACTAGCTTCATTAGGCAACAGCCAGATTTGTGGAGCCTGTTTTTATCATTTGCCTGTTATCATTCGCCTGTTATTAAGTTAAAGTAGAAATTGTTATTATTGTTGTAATCACGTTATCAGTATAGAAATAATTGTTATTATGTTAAAAGTAGAAATAATTATTGTTATCAAGTTCTAAGTGGAAATAATAATTACTGTTCTCATTCGCCTGTCGTTATCATTTGCCTGTTGTTATTTTTCGCCTATTGTTATCAAGTTAGAAGTAGAAAGTTATTATTATTGTTATCATCCACCTGGTGTTGGTACTGCACGTCTCTAATCCAGCACTGTGGAAGGTAGCGAGGGCTGGTGAATCACCGCACAATGATGTTGGCAAATCCCCTTCCCGTGGGTGTCGAGGTGCCATAACCTGACTCGCCAGGAGAAGGCAGTAGAGCAAGTGGACTAATCGCCATCTTCACCTGTACAGGGATAGAGTGTTTCACCCTCGCACGCATGGGTTTTCTCCGGGTACTCCGGTTTCCCCCACTGGTATAAACACTCGTCATTAATTAGCGCATAATGCCTCCATAGAGGACCGCAGAGCTTGGACAATTGTTGGTACTGGCTCACCACGTGGCTTCCTTCCTGCACGGCTGTGGTTCCTCATGCCTCTGAGTCGTTCTTGTGCTCGCTATAAAACTTTTAATTATTACTATTATTCGCCAGGCGGTGGTGTTGCAAGCCTGTGATCCAGCAGTGGAAGGCAGCAAGGGTGAGTGGATCACACAGTGAATGTTGTGAAACCCCCTTCCCGTGGGCATCCAGGTGCCTTCTCCTGGCTGGCTGGCCAGGAGAAGGCAGTACAGAAAGTGGGATAATCGCCATCTTTGCCTATACGGTTTAAAGTGCTGCCCCACGGGTTTTTTCCAGGTGCTCCGGTTTCCCCCA